TAGATCAGAAACAGACATATTGGTATGATCTAATTTTTCTTAAATTATATTTGATGTCTCTGTCCACTATTAGAACCTAGAAGCAATAACACTGAACATACTTAATTCCCTATATACTGTTCCCCACTAAAAGAAATTAGGACTCTTTGGTAAAAAAAAGGCTGATTCTAGAGCTGGAACACAGGAGTTTGAAGCTATAGTGAGCTGTGACACCACTATACTCTAGCCTAAGCAATAGAGTAAGACCCTATCTAAAAAAAAAAAAAAGAAAGAAAATTATCATTTTATAATTATCTTAACTGATCCAGGCAAGAATTATCAACAAACACTAAAATTACTAGATGAAAGTTTATGAGGAAACAAGATACACAATCTGAAAGTATCAGCCCATAGGTTACTTATTAATTACAAAGGGGAAAAGATATCTTTACAATGGAGAACTGCCAGATCCCATCCGAACCAAATGATCAAATTTAACATCATCCAAATTGATGTCATAGGTACCCTAAGTTGTTACTAAGATTAAATAAGATCATGTATGTGAAGTCCTTAGCAGAGTCTCTGACACTTAAAAGTGCCTAGTTAAGTATTAGCCTCATTACCGAGTACTACCTTTCTAAACATTCAAAACTAATTTTATAAAGACAATTTAGAAATATATGTTTTTATTAAAATATTTCAAGCTGGGCGTGGTGACACACACCTATAGTCCTAGTTACTCAGGAGGCTGAGGCAGGAGGATCCCTTGAGCCCAAGAGTTCAAGTCCACCATGGGCAACAAAGCGAGAACCCCATCTCTTTAAAGGAAAAAGAAAAAAATACTCTAGTTACACCAGAATTAACAGAGTATTTATTATCCCAGCACTCCGGGTGGCTGAAGCAGGAGGACTGTGGCCAGGAGTTCAAGATCAGCCTAAGCAACATAGGGAGATCCTGTCTCTACAAAAAATAAAATTAAAAAAAAAATTAGCCAGGAACAGTGGCATACACCTGTAGTACTAGCTACTCGGGATGCTAGGGTGGGAGCATTCCTTGAGCTTGGGAGTTCTAGGCTACAGTGAGTTATGATCCAGCCACTGCATTCAGTCTGGGCAAGAGAGTGAGACCCTATCCCCCAAAATGAAAAAAACACAAAAAAAGCCTCAAGTCAAGTGTTCATATGTTAGAGAATTAGCTAAATGATGTTCCTCTTTACTTTCCCCAATCCTTCCCATGTCCAACATATCTATTGAGTGCCACGTAATGTGGCAAAGAAAAAGCAGCAATATGACTATATCAACAAACAAAACAAGATAAAAGTCCCTGCCCTCATTGAGTTTCCATTCTAATGAGGAAAGAAAAAAATTACACAGTATGGAGTAAGGTGGTGTTGTAAACAGAGAAGAATAGACATGTGGGAGTGAGGATGCAATTTTAAATAGGGTACTCAGTAAAGGCATGGCTGAGAAACTCGCTTTTGAGCAGAAACTTGAAAGGAAGTGAGAGAGTGAGCCATGTGGATACTCCACCTGCCCAGAACACTTGGGAGAAAGGTGTTCAAGGCAGACAGAATAACAAACACCAAGACCTGAAACAGGACCATGTCTACCAGTGTCAGGAACAACAAGGAGGCCAGTGTTCTTTGAGAAAAATGAAAAAGGAGAGGTGTCAGAGATAAGGTCAGAGAGAGAGCAGGGTCCACAGATCATGTAGGGCCTTTTTGGCCATGTTCAAAACTTTAGTTATTACTCTAAGTAGGACTGAAGGCCATTAAAGGATTTTGAGTAAAGGAGCAAGACTATCTCTCTCACCATGTAAATACAATTTATCTTTGAACATTGCAGGCACTGGGGCACTGACACCCTGTGTAGTTGAAAGTCTGCTTATAACTTAACTCCCCCAAAACTTAACTCCTAATACTCTACTGTTGATTAGAAGCCTTATGGATAGCATAAACAGTCAATTAACACAGAGTTTGAATGTTATATGTATTACATACGGTATTCCTGCGATAAAGCTAGAAAGAAAAATTAAGAAAATCCTAAGGCATAGAAAATATATTTACTATATTCATTAAGTGGAAGTGGATCATCACAAAGGTCTTCATCCTTGTCATCTTCACATTGAGTAGGCTAAGGAAGAGGAAAGGATGGGTCTTGCTGACTCAGGAACTGCAGAAACACAAGAGGTGGAGGAAGTAGAAGAGGAGGCAGAAGAGGCAGGCACATCTGATGTAACTATACGGAAATACATCGTAATTTCTGATTGTTTTTTATTTCTCTTAAAATGTTTACACACAGTACCAATCCTTCTTCCACCATTTGCTTTAGTTTCAGTGTCCATATCACAGAAGGATCCACGTCATAACAGAAGTCAAAAGCAATCATGAATAATCAGAACCCTTCTGCCAGATTGTCTAATAGGCGTCCTCAAACTGCGGCCCACAGGCCACATGTGGGTGTTTTTGCCTGTTTGTTTTTTTTACTTCAAATTAAGATATGTGCAGTGTGCATAGGAATTTGTTCATAGTTTTTTTTAAACTATAGTCCAGCCCTCCAATGGTCTGAGGGACAGTGAACTGGCCCCTTGTTTAAAAAGTTTGAGGACTCCTGGTCTAAAACGTCTGCTTTTTTTCTGGCACTGCTGTTTATACATCTTCTTTCTCATCGTCTGGTACCAGTTCAGAAGTACGCATCTCCATCAAGTAGTCTTCTGTTAATTCCTCTAGTGTAGTGTCTATTAGATCATGAATTTCTTTGAGATCTCTATCTTGAAACTCTTCACCTTTTACCTTTTTTTCCATATCCACAATCTTTCATGATTTCCTTGATAGGCTCTGTCATAAACCCTGTCAAGTCATGCACAACACACGGACACAATTTTCGCCAGCAAGAATTTATTATTTCTGGTTTGATAGCTTTCACGGCTTTTTCTATACCAGGGCATCTTCGGTGGTGTAATCCTTCTAGACTTTTCATGATGTTCTAAGCAGATTTCTCTTTCATAGCGTTGACCATCCTTTCCATAGACAGCCATGTGTAATGAGCCTTAAAGGTCTTTATGACCCCCAATCTACAGGCTGAATTAGAGATGTTGTGTTTGGGGGCAAGTAGACCACTTTGAGGTGTTCAGTGTTGAACTCATGGGGTTCTGGGTGGCCAGACATTGTCCAATATCAAAAGAACTTTAAAAGGCAGGCCCTTACTGGTAAGGTACTTGCTGATTTCAAGGACAAAGGAATCCACACAAAGGGTTCTGGTCATTTGGCCCTCTTGTACAACCAAAAGACTGACAGCTGGTAAGCAGCTTTATAGATAAGGGCAGACCTGATCATAAATCCAACTGCATCTGCACAAACCAGTAAAGTTAGCCTATCTTTTCCTGCTTTAAATCCTGGTGCTTGCTTCTCTTTCTTACTAAATAAATGTCCCTTGTGGCTTTTGTTTTTCCAGAATAGGGCACTTTCATCTGCATTAAAAACCTGTTCAGGCAGATATCCTTTTCTCTTCAATGATTTTCTCAATGTTGTATAGACTGCTTTTTGATTGGCAAAAGCTGTTTCTCCTGTTATCTTGACATTTTTTAAGCCAAACCACTTTCTAAAATTATCAAACCATCCTTTGCTGACATTAAATTCTCCAGCCTAAGAGCTTTCACCTTCCATTTGTTTTAATGTAAACTTCCTTTTTTCCTGAATCACATTAGAGTCTATATGTATGCCTTTCTTGGAATGATCCTGAACCACATAAAAGCTATTTATAAAAAGGTATTTTGGCTGGGAGCAGTGGCTCACATCTGTAATCCTAACACTTTGGGTGGCCAAGGTTGGAGGATTGCTTGAGCTCAGAAGTTCAAGACCAGCCTGAGCAAGAGCAAGACCCTGCCTCTACTAAAAAAAAAAGTTTTTAAAATAATAATAAAAAATAAAAAGGTATTTCACAAAAACTACAAGGTTTTTGTGCCTGCTGGCTTAGCTGCAGTGACAGCTTCACAAATTTCCCTTTTTTTTTTTTTACAATGGTCCTTATGCTGGATTAATTTCTCTAAAGGTGGGCAACCACACAGCTACAGACCTCAATCTGTGATACAGGTCAAGCAATTCAACTTTTCTTGTAATGTCATGACTTTCTGTGCTGATTGGGAGCATTTCGTATAGGTCCCATGGTGTTATTCAAGGTTTACGGTACTACACTAAATACAATGAAAAATACACTGAAAAATTACAGGAGAACTGCAGAAGATCACTTTTTCCTGTGATATGCAAATTTACTGGAGAACAATTTGACTGAAGGGATAAATTGCTCCTCTAGAGATTATTAGAGTCGTGTGCATTTTAAAGAGATACTCACAACACTTTAGCTCACAGCAATAGCCATAGGAGGTGGTTACAAAATTATTACAGAATTATAGAATGCACTACACATTAATTTTATATTTAATTATTGCATCTTTACATTTGTTTACATTTCTGTCAATTGCAAATGGCATCATGTAGGTCTATGTTTGTGTAAGTTTTAACTTTTTGTAATAGATTTGTGTATATTTTATGATAGTAAATGATAAAATAGGCTACCATCTACATATATTTTATGCATTCATGACATACCTTTTTCTTAATTTTTTTCACTCTTTCTAGCCTATGCAGTTCTTCTGAGTTTTTTCAAATTGTCACAGACCTCCAAAAAATTGTCCAATATATGTATTGAAAAAAATTCATGTATAAGAGGACCTGTGTAGCTCAAACACATATTGTTCGAGGGTCAACTACAGATGCATTTTTATCTTGCAGCATTTTCTACTGATGCGCTATACACAAAAAATTTAGAATATGTCCCAAGCACGCTACAGGGCTAACAAAAAACTCATTAATATCTACAATATTATAAATTGGTAAGCCCCTAGCAGATAAATGAACAAAGAACTTGAAGAATGTATGCAAGAAGAAATGAAATTAGTATATAAACATGAAAAAAATTCAACCACATCATCACTAAAAAGAAATACAAAATAAAACAAAGTACCATTTATCAACCATCGCTAGGGAAGTTGGTGGTTCACGTCTATAATCCTGTATCTGAAACCTCTGGTTCCAAAACACTTTTGGAAGATCTGGAATACAGAGCAGTGATATAGCATAAATATCTTAAATTAAGTAATATTCTTGGTTGACTCCAAGGTAGCACCCTGTATTCAACCATACTGCTATTTAAAATTTCTTTAGAGAACCTGAAGAATGTACACTACAAGTGGAATAAGTCAAGACCAAAGAGCCTCATATCAGTTTAAGTCAAGTCTAGCTGCCAAATTAGCTACAAATATTTTTATTTTTTGAGGGATTTGAGAATTTTAAAATTGCATATAAGAACTGTTGAATATATAATTCTTCTTGTAAACAATTATGCTAAAACATATTAAAAACCATAAATATAGCCAGTTGCAAGGTGGGTCACAGTATCAGAATCACCTAAGAGAACTTTTCCAAATCAAAAAACCCTTCCCAATAAAGAAGTTTCATTTCCTTAGTAGCTTCTGTAATAAGCCACTGTAACTGATTGTAATTTGTAATTGGCTAGAAAAAATAAGTTAAAAATGTAAACAAACCAATTATAGAGTTTTTTTTATTCTAATACATATAAAACAATTTGGAAATCCTTGACATTTGTATTATTTTGCTTCCATGAATAAGAAGTATCTAAAAAAGAAACAGACAAAAAGAATATCAACATTACTTTAAAAATTGGTATTTCTCAAATAATCTTAATCCCCTTGGAAAATTCCTTCATTTTAATTTACAGGCGGATGGACAGACAATAAAAAATTCTGGTCAGGTATGTATGTCTGATCACTCAGGCTACTGTGTAAGAGGGATTAAAAAAGGGCAAAACTCATGGCAGAATACACTTAAAGAAGACTACTGCAAAAGTCCAGACAAGGCATGATGAACTTATAACAATTAACATTAAGAAAATTTAATCATCCCTAATAATTTCATAAGTTTTGTCCAAGTTTCACATTGACAAACTGAAGCTCAAGTGATAATAGGGCTACAACAAGGAAAATCGAAGAGAAAAAGAAACTTAATAGAGATGATGAGAGGCAATCCAGACAGGCAGTTAAAAAATGGTACCCAGAGCTTATAGTAGCAGGCAATAGTCAGTGATCCCGGCAAGCAAGATCTTAGCTTCACAGAGGTTAGATAAGCAGTTGGCAATCCAGCAATCAAGAAAAACACAATAGAGAAACAGGGCAGCAGGCAACATGTCTAATTTTGTGACTCTTGATATAAGGCTTATTGCAAATAGCAGAGAATTCCCGCTACAAAACTAGAGTTCAAGAATTTAAAAATAGGACATTATAACACAAAAAAACCAGGACACTAGCAGAAAAGATACAGATTCTGGACTCAAACCTACTTTTATTATTTTTTTTATTTTTGTTTTTTCAGATAATAAAGATTTCTATGTCTCACAATTCTCTGGCCAGGAAATGGGTAAAGGCTAGGCAGGTTTTCTGCTGTACTGGGTGTCATATGGCATCATCTGGGGTCATTCACTGGTCTACATTAAGATAGCTGGCCTGGACTGAAAAGTTCAAAAAGGCACCACTCATATGTCTCTCACTTAAGTGCTCCTTCACATGGCCTCTCTGTCTCCATGTGGAGAGCTTGGGCTTCTTCACAGCATGGTGGTCTCAAGGTAGTCATATTTGTTACATGGCAGCTGGTTTCCAAGATTAAAAATGGAAGCTGTCAAGCCTTTTAAAATTTAGGCCTAGAATGGGCACAGTGTCCTCTCTGCTTCATTCTGTCATTCAAAGTAAGTAATAAGAAGTCATAAGTCAAGATCAATGGAAGAAGAAATAAACCTCATCTCTTGATCAGTGGAGCAGCATGTGTGTACAATGCAAGGATTTGGTGTTGGCCATTTTTGAAGACTGTCTTAATTAGTGGTAGGTCACTTTGGCTGTCTTGTGGAGAACAGGTTGTGAAGTACAAGTGTGAAAACAGCAAAACAGTCAGGGACTACTGTGGGAACCCAGGACAGTAGAGATGTGGCTTGTTCTGGCTGCTGGCTGGGTGATCATTGCAAAAACTTTCTGCCTATTCCTCATTCACATTCAGCCACCTAGACTTACTTTTAAAATCTAAATCTGCCATTTTCTAGTTGTGAAAGTCTGTAAAACTCAGTTTTTTGAGCCTCAACTCACTCGTCTATAAAAATGTAATACTACTACTTAATCCACAGGGTCCCTAAGAGAATTAAATAAGATATCATACTTAAGAATACCCAGTAGAGTTCAACAAATATTAGTTTCATCCCTGTCTCTTTTTCTTCCATTTTTCATCTAAGTAACTGAAACAAGGAAGGTGGAATCTTTAGCTTGGCCACAAAGTCTGAAAGGCTGGTTCAATTAGGCATTAGAGGACTTAAGCTGCACAAAGTCAGGCAGGTTATTAATGCAAAATACCTCATGGGAACACAAGTTCATACAGAAAGAGGTGAAAGGAAATGAGTTACAAAAATAAAAGGGCCTAAAAATTGAAATAAAGTAAAAGTTCAAATAATTAGTTAGCTTAATAGTATATCTACACAATAAAACATGTTGCTACATTAAAAAAAGAAAGAAAGAAAAAAAGGGAGGAGCTCTATATACTGAAGTCAAATGATCTCCAAGGTACATTTTAAATTAAAAACTTATGGTAGGCGGGGCACGCTGACTCGTGCCTGTAATCCTAGCACTCTGGGAGGCCGAGGCGGGCAGATCCTTTGAGCTCAGGAGTTTGAGACCAGCCTGAGCAAGAGCAAGACCTCATCTCTACTAAAAATAGAAAAAAATTAGCTGGACAACTAAAAATATACAGAAAAAATTAGCCAGGCATGGTGGCGCATGCCTGTAGTTCCAGCTACTTGGGAGGCTGAGACAGAAGGACTGCCTGAGCCCAAGAGTTTGAGGTTACTGTGAGTTAGGCTGACACCACAGCACTCTAGCCCAGGCAACAGAGCGAGACTCTGTCTCAAAAAAAAAAAAAAAAAAAAACTTATGGTATAAAGTATTGATATAGTAAACTGCCTTCTACGTAGAAAGATGGGGGAAAACAGTAATCTATGCTTATTTGTAATTGTATTTATTTCTATTTGCATAAGTAATGTAGAATATACAAAAAATAAAAGTGGATACCTACAGAAAGCGGGAAAGGGAAGGATAGACAGTGGTATTAAGATTCTCAATATATACTTTGTTTTTTTCATTTTTTTTTTTTTTGAAACAAGGTCTCTTTTTGTTTTTCAAACATGAGGGCAGTGGTATCATCATAGTTCATATGCAACCTCAAAAAGCTGGGCTCAAGTGATCCTCCTGCCTCAGCCTCTCAAATAGCTGGGACTATAGGTGCCACAATGCCCAGCTAATTTTTTTATTCTTTGTAGAGACAGGAGTCAGACTGGTCTCAAACTTCTGACCTCAAGAGATCCTCCCTCCTCAGCTTATACCTTTTTACATTATTTTGAAACTTGACCCAAGTAGTCATATTACCAATTCAAATAAGGAAATAAAATTTAAGTAAATTTTTTAAATAATTGAGAAGTCTGAGAGTTCTGATAATATATACTGCTGTACTTATTTACCATGACTTATCTGTACATAGTTTAGCTATCAACTAGCACACAGTCAGTCATCTATGACTTATCTGTACCATTTCTAGCTATATACCAGATTTCAATTCCTCTGATTAAAGTAATAATCTCTTAGAGAAGAAAAATCATGTCTTATTCAATTCTATATTCCCACCCCCAAACAGTGCCTGGAACCTACCTGGTGTTCAAATACATTAAACTGACCATGGACTGGCTAAATGCATTCCATCTGAATGAAGTAATCTCCAACTCTGGATATAATTTTTAATTGTATTGCTGGTGATTTATCTTGTCTATATTCAAGAATATACTTAGAATTCATGATTTTATAAAAATGAGAAAAGTTCTTAACACCCAATTGTGTCACAAAAAGGCAAGATATAAACCTAAATAATAAAATTAACAATGACCCTTAGATTACTCCAAAGACTCACCAAAAGATGGCAATCATTTGAAATAGGGGCAGGTAGCTTTCCCAGATACCAACCAAAGTTCATTCAGGGCATTTTTTTGATAGCAGGCATTGCTATATAGTTGCGCTTACCCATCTTTCAAATAACACTATAGATTCTTTCCCTTAATCCCAACAAATGTTAAGGTGTATGTAACCTTAAAAAAAAAAAAAAAAGATATTTTTCTTGACACTGTCCCCTTTTCCTCTATAATCCAAGAGACCTTCTTTCTTACTTTTATGGCCAAATTTCCTGAAGAGTTGTCTAATCTATTACTATATTCACTGCAGGCCTACTTTTCTCAATTTAGCTTATCACCCTCCTCTACTGTAACTCCTCTGTTAAAGCAACAAACCTCAAACTAGTACACTTCAGAGGAACCTCAACAGTGTATTAGCAGATTTCCTATGCTACCACCTCCCCATTCTCCACTCATCCTTTTAAGAATCTGTAAAGTCTGAAATGAGACATGGGGAATTTACATTTTTAATCAGTATCTCAATGATTCTGATATAGGTGTCCTGCCTGAACACACTTGAAAACCAACATGCTAAGGTCATTTTTTAACTTTCCAATAGTCAAATTCAAAGCACTTTTGGTCTTCTCTCTCTCAGTAGCATTTAACACCTTCCTGAAATTCCCTACTTCACTGCCTTCTACCACACAATCATTCTCTTCCTTCTCTCACCACCATTCAGTCTTCTTCACTGGCTTCTTCATTTCCGAGAGCCCTTAATCTTCCAATGATGGTGGTGAGAAGCTGTCAGTACTCTTCTTCCTAACTGTACACACATTTAAGCACTGACAGTCACACCCATTGCTTCCACTACCACCTATACAACTTTAAATCCTGCCACTTTCCATTCCAAACTATGTTTACACAGATAGTCAGAGGCTATGCAGTATAGGGGAAAAAAGATGCTTCAGTATCAGACAAATCTGAATGTAAAATACTTGCTCAGCTATTTACATAGTAAAATGCCCAAAGACACACACCTTTCTAAATCTCAGTTTTGTTCTCCTT